ATCAAACTTCCAGCTAAATAGATGGTTTGTGTGAAAACAACGCTGGATATCTGCCATTTTGCCACCAGCTGATATACGAAGCAGCGTCTGGCTCCTTCACACAGAGGACTGTGAACATCGGCAAAGTTTTTGACAACAGCTTTTCCCATCCAGGCTCTCGCTCTGGAAACCTCGCCATCCACAGAAACCATTTTCTCTGTGTCGCCTCCTTTCATTACACACCAGATTACTCTCACTCATGCCCCACCCCTCTCCATTTCCTTTTCCCCATCCTTCTCTCGCCTCTTGCTTTTTTGTCCTTTCAGTTCACTCAACTATTTCCCTCTATTGGTCATCCGCTTTGCTTCCAGCCTTTTTCGATCTCCTTCCTTTTATGACAAGCCTGTGTGCCTATATGGAGCCCTGGGAGGTCATAATTCAAACTCTCAGAAGATGCACGCACACATTTTATATGCCTGTCAGCTTCAGGCGTGCAAGAATGAAATATACCTGAAATGATGCGCTGCCATGTCAGACCCTGTGAGCATGCAAACCATTAATTTAGCCATAATGACGTAGAGATTCACACAGGTGCTGCTCGAGTGCACACGTATGGTTTTGAGCATCGTGCATGCACGGAGCTCCGAGGACGTGTTCACACGCCCACCTCTAACATCATGTTGTCAGGTGCAGATGCATTCGTAAAAACACATGCACAGGCTTACGCTTGAGCACTGAGCGAGTCTTCACCTGCTGCTGAGGCTTCTTCACTGATGGCAGTTGGGAATTTGCTGCCCCCTGCTGAAATTAAAAATACAAGTCCAGCACAGCAGCGTGGGATGAAAAGAGAATGAAAAACGGCTGAATTCAGTGTGAAAGTCTTTTTAAAGTCAACCAGTGACCTGTGGCTGATTCAGGCTGCGAGGAATGAAGCCAGCAGAAGCTGTTCTTTCTTTGTCAGAGCTTCTGAGCGACTTCAGTGTTTCAGGCAATTCTTAATGACATTGTTTTACTTTTTTTGGATTCAAATTTCACATAAAATAGCCCAATGGTGGTCTCACTCCATCAGCGACTCTTTTTGGATCAAAGTCAGTCTCAGAAGGTTTTACAGTCACTTCCTGGTGGTTGGTAGAAATATCAGCACCAGTAGCAGAACTGACCCGTTACATGTGTTTCCTGTATGTTCTCACTATGTAGGAGCTAGAAATACAAACCTAGAATCTTCTCTTCGTACGTTCTCAGTTTGCCTTTTATCCACTATTGCTCCCTTTTCATTCCTCTGACTCTCTCCATTTCTGCCTTTCCTTCTTTGTCATCCATCCCATAATCGTTTGGTTGCCTCTGTGTCCTGCCTCTGGGTGCTTATCAGCAGAGCAAGATATCATTTGCATCAGATTAGAGCCATGAACAGCACCATAGAGACCGTTGGACTACCGGCGCTATCAGTCAGTGTTTCTTTTCTATTTCTTTCCTTTTTATATTTGCAGAGAACTCTCAATGGAACTGGCTTTAATGGCTTTAATGGGTTTTATGGGTTTAAAGGCAGCTTTATTTGCTGCACAACTTCCAAAAACCAGCTGTTATGTTATTAAATCTGTCATCCAGTTCCTCAGTGTCATTTTACCAACAGATAAACATGAAGTCACACCAGAAATACAAGAGCTCAGTGGAATTAAGACACGTTAGAGTGTCATGACTGCTCGCTGCTAATCTGTGTCCTTTATGTATTCACAGTAAAGTTCTTGCACATTTACTTTCGCCTCTCGCTCCCTATCAACAGATCAGGATAAAAATCTAGGTTGCGCTGATCTGTAGGCAAAGCTGACTTTTGGCCGCGGTGCGCCGTGTTTCTATCTTGGTTTGTCCTGAAGCGCCGCCCCAGAACTCAGTGAGTCAACTAATCTGTTCTGCTTCATCCACACGAAGGAAGAACTTCTCTATTTTCCCTCTTGGTGACTCTCCAACTATTCCGCTTTCTAATCTGCCTTCAACGTGTCGCTCCCTCATTTCTGTGAAGTTCTTCCTCCTGACTGTATAACGACGACTGTACTGGTGTCATGGCTCGTTTCGTCGGCCTTCCTGCCACCTGCCGTCCCGTCCTGTCCTGCTCTCGCTGCCACGTTACTGCATGTGATGTTTCTCTGCATGCTGCTGGTCTGCCTGCTTCCCTGGTTTGTCTCTCTGTGTTCCAGCAGGAGCTGAACTGATATCTACTGATATCTTTATATTATGAGTCAGTCAGTCTTCACACAGCATGCTCCTCTCCTTCCACTGTGTCTTCTTGGGTTTAAACTACAGGAAGCAACAACCTCTGAGCAGCAGCCGACATGCTAAAAAATTCAGGTTTCCCCAAAGATTTCAATCCTTGTTTTTTTTGTTGTTTGCCTCCTTGGATGCAAATGTTCGACCGAAACATTTCCCCATCACTATTTTGCAAAGGCACCATTGCTGTATCCTGGCCGAAGCAGCGCTCAAGATTGTGATTGGTTAAAAAACAACAACAACAAAAAACAATACACAAACATGTCAGAGCATTTCCTCCCACTGGCAGAATGCAGACCGTTGTCCAGCACTAACAAGGTGCTGTGGACATCTATCTGACAATGTGAGGCTAGATCGTGCAGGACTGTAACTACAGTACAATGTCTGCCCAGTGCTAATGTTAGCAACTAGCTGGTGAAGACAATCAGCACCGACAAGTGATCCAGATGGGAGCTGGCGGAGGCCAATAAAGGTGAATGTAGAGAAAATCTAGTTAATATGTGGCTATAAGCCAAATCCAAATGAATGCTAATAGTTCCCTTTGTCTACAGGCAACGGTTTGTTAGCTATATATATATATATATATATATATATATCTATACAGTCATAAAACATCAAGGCTCCGATCAGCACTGGTTGTTCTCTGTTAGTTTTTCCTGTCCTTTATTTGGCAGGTCAGACATTTCCTTAATCTGCTTATCTTCCCGCCTGCCTGCCTCTTTTTATGATCTGTAGCTTCCAGGAAAACATTGCTATGGATCCATCACCTGTCGTCTTATATTGGAGGAACTGGAGGAAAAAGCATCCTTCTGCCTCGGAGGAGTTTTATTCAGCATGTACACCGTATATGCCTTTCAGCCGGCTGCTCTGTTTTAGATCAAGGTTCTAGATAAAAGCTTATCTCCAAAAAAAGCAAAAAGTAATTTTACAGCACTTGAGAGAGACTAATTTTCCATTTAGAGAGCAATGTAAAGCCATTTCAACTTCCCATTGCTCTTTGAATGTCTTTGCTTGGCTGCAGCGTCCAGAAACTTTTCCAGCACAGAAAGTATTCTCAGAAGTTTTCATGTGACAAGACACAACAACAAAAGAAGATTTGCTTCACATCGTCTATGGATCAAGTCAAGATGTCACCTCCAAGTCAAAGACACTAAAGCTGATTTCTGGAGTGAAACAGTTTAATGTGTGTGCACAGCCTCACACACACACACACACACACACACACACACACACACACACACACACACACACGCGCGCACACACACAGCCTGATCATGCACATACGGAGGCACACAAACACACTGCTGTGTTTCTGTGATACAAAATGCCTTCAAATAAACGTTGCTCATAGAAGGAAAGAAAAACGGATTCCTTTGGACCCACTCCTGTTTGGTTTTATTTCCGGACCAATATGGGCTAAATCTTTACTGAAGGCTGTAATCAGGATTTTTGAGGCCCCTCTAGTGGTGATGGAGAAAAGGGGGACGGGTTCATTGTGGACTTGCTTTCAATTGTTAGTGACAGTAAAGACATGACGTGTGACAGAAGCCTCTGGTTGAAACGCTTGTCAGCACATATGAACCCAAGTGCCTGATTTAGGTTGGTGGAAATAACATTTTATTATCTGCACATGGTGTCCGTATTGTCTAGATCTGTACATTTAGTGGCCCTGAACATACACAGCTGGTGTCAGTAGGCCTTTTTCCCCCATGTTCAGTATGTGGACTAGTAAGGAAACCACCGGTGTCACAGTGACAGGGCTAGGGCTAGTGAACTGGTACCCACAGGGCTAGGGCTAGTGAGCTGGTACCCACAGGGTTAGGGCTAGTGAACTGGTACCCACAGGGCTAGGGCTAGTGAGCTGGTACCCACAGGGTTAGGGCTAGTGAACTGGTACCCACAGGGCTGGGGATAGTGAACTGGTACCCACAGGGTTAGGGCTAGTGAACTGATACCCACAGGGCTGGGGCTAGTGAACTGGTACGCACAGGGAGACTTGAACCTGAAGCACTCGTTGGATTATTCATGCTTGCATTTTTTTAAAGCCTGCCATTTAAAAAGTTACTCGGACTTACTTGACAGCTTGTTAGCATCACAGTCAGGTGGAAATGTGGTGGAGCGACGTTGGGAATCGTGACTGAATACCGAACTATAGAAACTATGACCGTGCGGAGTCCAGCAAACACCCAGAAGTGTGGAAAATGCACTTCTGACCAGGTTACACGGCCTCATGGAGGCTCTACGTTGATATCTTGGGGTATTTTTCAGCAAGACGTTCCCTGTGCAGCGTACATCTGCTGGATTCTTCATATCCAATATGGCATGTACAACAGCTGGAAACACAAGTACTTATTTTGCTCATATGGGATTTATTTTTCTCACATTTCAAGGTGTAATACATTTAAAGTGCAAGTTAGCATTTAAAAACTGTTTAGGTTTTGTTCACAGGAGGTTTCTCTTCTGCTTTAGGGTGAGGCTTATAATCATTTTTCTAAGGATTTAACCCTAAAGTCACTGCATATGCATCAAATACTATCTGTAGTTGTTTTTTTTCTCATACTTTCCTAATGTCACTGCTTTGGAATGAGGAAAATGTCATTTTATATTATCAGATCCTATTATTTTATCTATGAAATCTTCATCCAAAGTAGAGGCACCAAAATCCTTTCAAAGTGCTTGAAGATGCAAATGTCAGCAGTTCTTTGCAGGATAACAGCTAAAGCGAGAGACGATGTTAAAGAAGAGACCAGAGTCAGTGCTCAGCTTTCCTTTATAATATTTATTCTTAAAAATGAGTAAGCAGACAGTTCATGTGTCCTGTGAATACCAAAATGTGTAGAACAGAACAGAACAGAACAGAACAGTGAAACACCTTCATTATATTTCTACAACGAGATCTTTTGAGCATATCAAAAGTCAAAACAAAGGACGTATTTGTTTTATTACAGCAAATCTTTTTAAAACTTTTTTCATCTCAACAAATAGAGGACAAATTTCTAGAAAGAGATGTAAAAATATACATGATATGATGCGTGTTAAACAGCAGGCTATCATCTCCTGATGCACACAGCTACTGACTGGCATGAACATGGGTGAGGAGGTGATAATGTCAGAATGCAGCAACACCAGAGGGACCAGTCACATGTTTGAGAGGACGTCACAGCTTAGACAGGAGGAGCTTCGGTCACTAAACACTTCCTCGATTTCCCTCATTTCTTACTCGATCACACACTTCCTCAGCTCATCAGTTCCTTAGTTCTTCCCTTGCTTTCTTTGCCTCCTCCTGAAAAACTGTGAGAGAATTTTTCATTCCCTCATATGCTCTCCTCTGATTGCATTTTCATCAGGAAACAAGGACACGAGAAAGAAAAGAAGGGAAGCAAAAAAAGTTGGACAAAGCAAGGAAGGGCGGAGGGACAGCTCTGAGCCGTTGGCGTGCTGATGGGATGAGGCTGTAACGGACGGATCGATCCGAACAATGAGACCAGCTCGTTGCCTCCTGGCACAATTACATCCATGACAGGAACTGACTGCTTCACCCCTGCAGTGGCTCAGACGGCAAAACAAGAGACGTATTTCTCATGGTAAAAGGTCGGAGACATGCAAATCAATAGCCAGGCTACTACTGAGGCATAAACCAGTGATTCATGCAAAGACTGTGTCAGTGTTCAAGTCCTCCATGTGATGAAAGGAAGCAGCAGAAGAAGGGGAGAAAACAGAGAGGCAGACGAGCAGAGGCTGAGGATGAGAAGGAAGGACAGCGGAGAAAAAGACGACGACGAAAGAATGAAAAAGAGGGAGGATAAGAAGACGAGATGAGGTTTGAAGTGCTCATGTGATGGGCGTCCATCTTCTCGTCTACAGGCGGAGAGGAAATCAAAATGCAGGGTTGGAAGCACGTCTATCTGCCACTCTGTGTTGGGCTCAGCATCAGTACTGTGGAATGACAGATATCCATGACTTCTAGGAGGACAGAGGTGTGTCTGAACTCAGCCTGCGAGTCACACACAGCTGTTTGTGGCCAAGTGAAGGTCTGGACCTCAAACTACAAAACTACACGTCTGTAAGTGAAGGAGGCTTTAACGTGTTGTAAATGCTGAACTGCCTTTAACTTCCCAAAAGGAGACATTTAGTTAGAAAGAGTGGCGCCACAGAAACCTGCCAAACACCAACAAAATGCTCGGCGGCCTCGTGATGTCAGTCAGCTGCATCCAATAGGGAGACTTTTTGCTTGTGTTGCTTGGCAAAGACAATGAATTCAAGTAAATAAGAAAAATTCAAGGCCTAGAAATGCTGCACAGCCCTCACAGTGGCAGCTGGTGCAGATAGCATTCAGGATTTCAGTGGCAAAACTCTTTGAAGACAGGAGTACGTGGTGCCCTCCTCTAGCCTCGGTGCTCAGGCCTTTCCTAGCACACTACTATGTGGAATGGTCCCCAAGCTGCTACATCTCAGTCACAGTGGGCACCAGGTACCTCATGATGAGGCACAGCACTTTGCCAACACATGTACAACACTCTGGTCTCCTTCTGAAGGCACGGACACGACCAGCAGTGACAAGTTTTAACCACATCGAGTACGTTTAAATATTAATGGTTAGAAAACAAGAGAAACAGCTGCTTTAGTCACAATGTTAACTGAAAACAATAAAAGTGTTAAAGTTTGTGCAGACACAGAAGCAGACTACAGAAACACGGGATAACTTTTCCTTTTTTTTCCTTTTTTTTTTTACAAAACAAAAATAACACTCCGAGTCATTTGTTTCATTTCCTGTGTGTGTGCTGCTGATAACGTTGTGGAGCTTTCATTCTGCTGGACAGCAGGCCGCCGGGGGATTAGAAATGCGTCTCCTTCTCTGAGATGGTGGATATTTTCCCGTCGACCTTAAGTTTTGCATCATTGGCAGCATAAGGACTGAGGGCAGCCAGTTTCCCTCTCATTTTCAGGTCTGGGCTGGGAGTGGTCAGCTTCTTTATTCTCTGCCAGACAGAAAGAGGAGAAGAGACGTTATCTCCCATCCTCTGCTAGGGACCAGTCAGGGAGTGAGAACGCATCAGCCAAAGCTGCGTCCAAATGCAGCTAAATATAAAAGTGAAATGTCTGCGCCAGCACGACGTGGGCGTCCTGTGAGTCGACTTTTCATGCTGCAACATCAACTACGTGTTGGCTAATCTGTACAGACGGCGACATGTTCTTTGATAGTCTGGAGGTGCTCTGAGGATAGCAGGGAGCGGAGCAGGACTGTGACACCTGGTGAGTGAGGGTTGGTTTGTGGACATCATTTAATAGAGTACGCCATCCAAAGCATCTGAATACCACCAACTGAACCTAATGTCCACATCTCAAGCTGTTGTTGGTATGAAAGCTGACAGATCAAAGCATAACACTGCCATAGTTTGCCATCTTCTCTCAGTTCTCCAGGCAGAGACATGCATGCACGACTGTGCCGATTTAATTCCAGACATGACCAAAGATCTGCAGAAGTTATTCTTCTATATTTCATCATGCTTAAGGTCTGCCAGTGGCCGGAGGCCAGCAGAGATCATCTCACATCAGATGTTTGCTTGATCCTCCCTCGAGCAGTGATGGGAGATCAACACGCTGTGAGCAAGTCCCACAGAGGAGGAGATACGACTAACCCTAACCCCAAAGCAGGCGGGGATTTATTAAAACCTGTCTCAAATGCTAACACAGCTCTGACTCTACTTTAAAGTGAAATTCTGTAGTAAGCTAGGCGATATTTAGCGACTCCATGCCAAATGTACGTCCCTCACACTCCAGCTGACCCTCCTATTGTGGTTTTGGAGAAGAGGAGATGTGCACAGCAGGACCTGAGTTTGTATTTCAGTCATTAGGTTTTCCTGGTGAAGCCCGCCCAGCGTCAGCCACTGCTGTCGCTGTGTGCTGAGCTGAACAGCGTCCGGTCTCTCTTCACTAATGCAGAATGATGGTCAGTCTGCAGCATTTGTACAGCTAATAACAGATACTTAGAAGCTAGCAGGGCAGGTTTGAGGCCAGTGTTCAGACGATGGCTTCATCTGTTTAGTGCAACTATCAGGACAGCGAAGACAACATATGAAATATCTTGTGTTCATGTGTTTGCTCAGTATTTAGAGGACAACTCTGAAATTCCAGCGTACTTCTTACCTCGGTGAAGGTGCCAGGAGTCTTCCAAATCATCCAGATAATTCCCAGAGGGATGCACACCATGGAGGACATGGCCATGAACCAGCCGATGCCGTAGCCCCAGTCAGGGTAGGTGTACACGTTGTTGTACTTCAGCGGTTTGTACTTAATCAAGAAGAACAAAAAAATTCCCTGCAGCAAAAAACAAAACAAAAAACAGATTCTGTTTGCAAATGTTGTTGTTTTAGACTGAGAGAGATGCTTCTGCTTCTCTGGTGGACAGATGCTACTGAAAGTCTTTTAAAGCTGGTGTGTGCAGCATGTGAACACCTTCACTAATAATAAAGCGTCACATGACTACACAGCACAAGATTATTATTTCTACCAATTATCTCCAAGATGACGTAACAAAAAGACTGCGTGAGCGTGATATGTTGTGCTGCTGCTCCTGATCTTGTGTCGGCATTGGACTCACAGCACAGATGCCCGGGGTCAGGATCATCCAGCACCATTTGATGAAGAAGACGGGTTTGTAGCCAATCATGTCCTCGATGTTTAGGTAGAATCTGTCACTACCTGAAATGCAAATAAGTGTCACTCAGTGACAGTCTGCATGGACCATCACAGTAACGATGGGACCGATGTCCTCTGGCAGCCGAGGGCGGTCCAAACACAACTGCTGACTTCATGTGGACAGAATCTGCTCTAAACCATTCTATTAATGATTCTGTATCGCATCATGTTGAATAAAATAATGTCAATGCTAATATCTGAGCCCAGAAATGACAGAAAAGCATGTCGTGTTTCTCTAGTGGCATCACATGTACTTAGGATGAGACCGTACAGACACAATGCAAACATTTGGGAAGGAGCTGCTTTAGTGCAATGGTTCTGATTTCAGGGTTAGGGTTGATCTCAGACATGTTTTCTGTGATGCACATCATTCTCCAGCAGAGGGCAGACAAGAAACGTTACTGCAGCACTGAGGGTGAAACCATGAAAAAAGGTGGACATGCTTGTTTTTATGACAAAGTTCTGTGATCTGAAAGGTGACAAGTGATGTGAGGTTTCTGCTCGTTCTATCAGCTGAATCTTACCGTACACCCAGCCGATACAGATGGACTCAAAGATGGCCACAAACAGCAAACACATCCCGCTGGCAGCGTACGAGTCAAACAGCTGGAAGACGTACATCCCTCCCTGATAGGACGAGACAGCATCAGATATGAAGTGAATCAGAGCGCCTGATCATACTTCGGCAGGATTGAAGGCAAAGACTTAAGCAGGAAACAGATTTACACTGCAGCCACCAAGCACTGATATTTCTATTATCTTATTGAAAATGAAGGTTTGCCCCACGATCCCCAGAGTGTGTTGCCACAGGAGGTCCAAGGTGTCACCGCTGGATGCTTTGATGCACCATCTATGCATCTGCAGGGCTTTAGGTTGTTGTTAAAGGTACAGATTGAAACCCTAAAGTTGCTGTTTAAACAAACAGAAATACATTCTCTGTTCTGTGGTGCTGATGCAGTGCCGACGTTTTAGAAAGATCTACTGAATATTTTAGATTTATATTACCTCCTATTCACCTTCCTTCTGAGAGGAAAAGAAATGACTTGCAGCTCTAAACAGTACAAATGAAGCAGCTTCTAACAGCTGGTAGCTCTGGGAGCAGCTAGCCCGGCTCTATCGCGCCACCTCCTGTTGGTTCATTTAGGGTTCGGTACAACCCGGCTGTAAAGAAGACAGCAGCGCTCCGGCTTCATGCTGGACGCTGCCTCCTGTTTCAGCCCCAGTGCTGGTCTCACTCCACCTTCTCGACCTCCACTCAAGACATCTTTTCTTCTGCTGCCACTAAAAGGGTCATCATAAATAAAATCTGAGAGTAGGGTTACATCACAGCTCTGAACAGCTCAGATATCTTCTACCCCATGTTTCACTGCTGTCCACAAGACCTTCTGGACTGTGTTTAATCCCACTCTAGACCCTGGTGGCGTTTTATCATGATGGCTCTTTGGCAGCTGACACAGTAAAGTGTCTGGAGCAGAGAGAGTGGATACATATACATATATATATATATATGTATATGTATATATATATCGTGGTGACAGGCAGGATAGAGGTCAAGTCACCAGACACTGCAGCTCTATAAATGAGAAAGTGACAACAAAGTACTTCACTTCCACGTTACGTTCTTGCCTCCTGTTTAATGGCCATTATGGACCACTGGAGAGCTGCACGTCTGCAGTGGGCTGGATGGAGTGCAGCGCATACAGAGACAGGAAAAGCTTTTAGTGGATGAAAGTCCTTCCTGAAAGTGTGAGGAACCAGGTTCTCCTCTATTATTGCAGCATAAAGATGGAAGGACTTAAAAGCCCAGCGGGCTGCTTGTGCTGCTCTGTGATGTTGCTCCTGACCACAGACCTGAAGGACTGGAAGCAAAGAGCCAAACACCAGGGGGCAGAAGCTCAGTTATCTTTCATATATGAACTGGTTCTGGATGAATTGTTTCAGACATTCTGATCTACATGTGGGCTGCAAATGAGGTTTCAATGTCTCCTGCTGCAGACGACCATCTACTGTGCACCTGTCAGGGCTCCGTCATGACGAGGACGGTGACGTAATCATGAGGATTATTTAACGGAACTGAGCCGAGGTGCATTTTTCTGCATAACCAGTTTCTTTGCTGTAACATGTATAAAGCTGCAGCACAACCCCCTGCATGTGGTGAGACGAGCCCAGGAGCAGCCAGAGCTGATCCTTACCTCCGTACACATGATGAGTCCGATGAAGAAAGACACGATAGACATGCCCAGAATGAGCAGCTCTCTGCGGTAGCCCCTCCTGAAGGTCTCTGGGTACATGTCCACCACCGCTGTGACCAGACTCTCCACACACACAAACTGAGACATGAGCAGAGTCGTGTTAGTGCATGTAGAGGATGCTCAGCGCTATCAATACAATCATATCATGACAATGATCACATAACAGGTAAAGATTAAACTGCAGCTGCTGTCTGTGGCTGGTTTAGTCGAAGAACACGCCACAGCTTCTCCCAGCATCTGTTCACCTCCTCCCTGTCTGCACAAAATGGTGGAAACTAAGCGTCTATGTGTGGTTTGTCCAATGTTTGGTTTCAGCTCATCAGGTTTGTACCTAGCTGAACTGGTACTCAGCATTCTCACAATTCTGGTTCTGACCTGACTGTCCAAGCCCAGGAAGATCAGCATCATGAAGAAGAGACACGCCCACAGTGGAGACAGAGGCATCATGGTAACAGCTTTGGGGTACGCAATGAATGCCAGACCAGGACCTGCATGACAGAACAATACAAATACAGGTTCCACTATGACTGTTCTCCTGAATGTTCTGAGTTCTTCTGAATCTGCTGTGAGAGCGTTTGATCAAAAAGAATACGATTGTTATTGAACACTCACTTGGTGATAGTCTGTTAGAAACACATGGAGATGGATGAATGGATAGATGGATAGATGGACAGATAGATAGATAGATAGATAGATAGATAGATAGATAGATAGATAGATAGATAGATAGATAGATAGATAGATAGATAGATAGATCTATCTATACCCAAAGCATGATGCTCTGTCCTTACTTCAGACAAACATTTCAAATCTCTCACTCTGTCACATTCACTGAATCATTCATTCTAACGTGAATAAATCATAATGTGGTGGTCTAAGAGCCTCGGTGAAGTGTCTAGAGTTATATAACTGGGCCTGTTTATCCATTTTAGCACAATATAACGGATGAAAGCACTCAGACTGAGACCGGCTCCTTCTTTCTCTACAGCGTCTGCTTGAGATGCTCTCATTACAGTGCTGAAAGTTGGTGCTAGTTTGGACTGTGATTGAGAAGCATGATGTTATATGGTCTGTTTTTCTCTCACCAGATTCCGCCACAGCCTCAATGGGAACGTTTTGTTCGTAGGCCATAAAGCCCAGCACAGAGAAGATAGCGAAACCTGCCACGAAGCTGGTGCCGCTGTTCAAACAACACAGCATGATGCAGTCCCTGAGGAGCAAGACGGAAGAGACAGAAATCACACTTACTGAAGGAGCTGGTGTTGGCTGTGACACCAGAAGTCTATAGACCAGGTGTGTCATGAACAGAAGCTAGCATCATGCCTTCCTTCTCTTCACCAGCGGGGTTTTACTCCTCGTCACTTATTCTTTGTGTACACAGGTAAACAGTCTATTTTTTGATCCTGGTTTTCTATTTTTTTGCATTTATTGTTTCAACCAGTTGTCGCCTAGCATCTCTGTTCTTACCTGTAGCAGTTATTGTTGTAAGCATTGTAGCTTCCCAGAGCAGTCAGACAGCCCAAGCAGATGGCATAGGAGAAGAAGATCTGTGTTCCTGCATCCACCCATACCTGATGTGGAAATGTAACACACATACAGACAGGAAAAAAACATCAAAGATAACCCAGCAAGTGTTAGGGTGAGATTCTCCAGTCTCTAGACTTTACTGGGTTGGTCAACTCCATTGTCCAGATGCTGCCAAATGCTTCTGTTGGGCCAAAATCTGTCACAGATGTTTAGCCGGGTTAAGGTCCACAGCACATAATTCACATTAACTTCATGCTCGTGCCCTTGTCTGCTTAGTTTTTTTGGCACTTCCACCTTGAACAGAGGGACCGACATTCAAGGTATAAGAAATATACACCCTGCTGAATGATGCTAGCAGCACACAAACACAGTCCGGTTCATTCCTGTTCCTGGTCCAATACCTCAGTCGATTACTGACAAGATTATTATGAATCAGTTTAAACCACAGACATAAAATGAAAGCCAGATGCTTTCCCATTTACAAGAGACTACCAAGATGACCACAAGAGGTGACTTTATCTTCTCAAATGAAACCCCACATCTCTGTTGTTCCCCTCATCTCCCTTTTGTTCATGCCAGTGATTAGTGATGACGTTCTGGCCCAGCTCAACTGTCTTCTCTCCCTTCTGAGAGTCACACAGTGAAGAACATGAATCATGGACTAAAATCCTAAAAGTACCTGACCCTAACCCTCACAGTGGCTAAATATTCAAATGACGCTTCACTAACTGCCTTCCATTTACGCTGCTGGGTCTGATTGATGCTGAAGAGCAACTGTGTGTTATACGGTTTAATTCAACATTTATATCTTTCTGACAAACCGTTATTGGCAGTCAAGGTGCATAAAGAATAGGAAGGTGAACAGAATTTCAATTGTTGAGGCCAAATCCTTAAAAAATGACATTGAAGAACTTTAAACTTTACCACGGATAGTCCACAGAAAGGGTTCCTTCTATCCAAAGTAGACCTGTTGAATGACATCCATTGTCTGGGTTGAGAGACAAACATCTCAAAACGTGGGCAAAACAATCCAAACTATCTGCATGGCTACATAGCAGCAGGGCTTTTACACCACGCTGGTGATGTGACCCAGTGGAGCCGTCCGCTGGACACTACTCTGGTCCAGAACTGAACTACTGAACATGAAGACTTGTGCAGACATTCATGGTTTCAAGAAGATGAATCTTACTGACTTTGGTGATCTGGACATTTTTACTCAAGCGCATCAATGGTTTTATTTAGCCACTGAACTATCTCGGCACTGACTTTATAGGTTGGTACAAAAATGTAGCAGATAAATCAAATGAGTCTGGAGCCCCTGGCTGTTCCTAACCCTAACCCTAACCCTAACCCTAACCCAGGTCGGCGTTTGTGGTCTTCTGTGGAATGGATAGACAGACAGCCCCATCCCTCAGGATGAGCTGGATGGACTTTGATTTAACACAGTTACTGAAGGTTCGCATGCTAAATGGTCAATATAATAAACATTACACTCATTTTATTGTGAACTTGTCAGTGTGCTGATGTATAAATTTAGTTCAAAGCGCTGCTGGAAATCAGCCCTCACTGAACAGGTGTTATGACTGTAGCCTGTTGGTCCAAATGCATTTCAGATGAACGGCCTCTTAAAGCTCATGTGTCTGGATATGGCCCTTCATAGAAGCTGACAGGGTTTGTTTATGCAAAGGTGAACAAAGCATGATGAAGCCGACACTGGACATAGCTAGCTGGTCTGCATTATGTGCAAAAAAGAAGCAATAGCCTCAATGAGGTCTATAAAATATTCATTCCTAATTCTCTTGATCCTTTTAGGGTCACATCCTGGATATTATTTTAATTCACAGTAATAAAGAACCACATTAGCAATGCATGGTTTGTAAAACCTGTGAAAAGTTTTACTGCAAGACTTTTCTGCCTTTCTGTATCAAATGATTATATTTAAGTCTGGAGGAAAACCAATATTTGGTTCATTAAGTACGCAGGGATTTGCACATGTACGATTCTTCACTGAGACAGCACTAAAATGTGCATTATGAAACGAGTTTGTAGAGCAACACAGAAGCCCAGAACCCACAGGATGGCATGGGGTGCTGGCGGATTCAGACTTAATGCAGCATGGCTCTTTGAAAACTCTCTCACATCACCATTCAGCTACTAATCTCATTTCCCCACCGAAAAACAATTAACAAACGCAAGGTCTTCGCTCCCTCCTGGGAGTAACCACGGTAACTTCTGTGACCTCACAAACACAGGACTGTTCCTGTGGAAGAACAGGCCTTTCTCTCCTAATGTTCATTAATGTTCCCTTTAGTTCACCCTCGGCTGATGGCCGCACAGCGCAGGGGAACCTTAAAGGCCCAGGCTCAGAGAGAATCGCTTGTTGATGTTGTGCCTAATTTGGCCGGCTTGTGTTTGGTTATGTTGAGACTGTGGAAACTTTTCTACTGTGTGAAAGCTGGATGACATCGGCTGTAAGACGGTGTTCTTGTAACGTCAATGTACCGCTCCTCCTCACGTCCCCCTCTATTTATGAACAGGATCCATAAGTACTGGATTCAGATATGTGAAGTGCAGCATTAAGACATTTGGCTGAAGTAAATTAGATTTCACACACCATTGTCTTCCTGTGCCACCCAGCCGTGCATGTAGATGGATCTATATAGGGTTAGGCTTAAATAGAAGACACTGAACATTACAACAGTGAGTCTGTGAGTTCGGTGGTAGTTTTACAAACATGCAACCGTCTCATTTAAGGTGCAATTATGTGCACAATTTAACTACAAAATGTCTACCGTGTTGCTGAAACACCTCAAAAAGTTCTTTGACCATGAAGTCCAACGGTTCTGCAAAGCTGACATCAGTTCCTCCTAAATACTGTTCATCCAACCTGAAAACATCCCACACCATCTGCAAAGCTGAGGTTTCACTTCAGGATGTCAGCAAGTCTCACTCTTTCTATCTTACTACCATCCCAATTACTCAAAGTTGGAAAAAGAAAGGCAGGTATTTTGGGGTGTGCCACTGTGTGTGCCGCCAGATGACATGAAACCTGATTGGATTTGATAAGCATAGAGTGTCAATGGAGTGGCTACGGAGGAGGGCTGGAAAAGGGCACTGAAATGAGAAGAATGAAATGTCCATATGTTATATATATATATACAGACATAGCATATGGAAGGAAATGTTTCCAGAAGTCACACTTATATTTATAGTTTGTGTGATTTAAATAGCCTTAAATCACCTCAAAACTACCTCAGATTCTTGTCATCTTTGAGCATTATTCTGCACCAAAAACAGTGTGTTGGTGAGCACAATGAAGAAACCATATAAAAATATAGTGTTTGTCCTCCAGGACCTGCTAATGGCAAATAAAACACGCTTTTATTACCAGTTGCATAGTTAAGCTTAAGTCACTCACAGATTAAGGTCTTGGTTACATCTTAAAAAGTTGACACTAAGCATGGGATATGTTCATTTAATATTATTCATTTAGTAAAACCTTGATACTACATATTACATGGAGCTAACCTGCTGTGCTGCTGTCAAAGCTTTGCACTTTGTAAGCCGATCCATCCTGAAAACTTGGCTACGAAATGTGTGTGCAACCAACAAGCCTCGGTACTTCAGTAAGTGGGGAATTAAAATTAAAATGTAGGTTTTGCAGCGAGACAACAGCTGAGGAGGAGAGGAGTGTTAGGGTTAGGGCTGAATTAACAAACACACATTTCCAGTTGTGCTGCACGGAAACAAGTGTGTGTGAGAAGAGTAAAGAGGAGGAGTGATGCACAGGACAGGCCGGAGGGTGACGAGGTGAGAGACAGCGAGAAAAAGGAAAGAGGAGAATGGGAACGGCATGATGAGTGTAGCTGTGGGCTGTTAACACCCAGCCGCACAGTCCACGGCCCGGGGAGGAGAACAGGGCCGCCATTGTCCCCGAGGAAGCTCATTTAACATCAGTGTCAGACGTAATGTCCTCTGCCAAACAGCAGCGCTCCTTTATCGCTCGCCTTCACTCTTCCAGTGCTGCTGTTTGTGTCTTTGTCAGTTTCTTTAGTGTTAGTCTGTCGCCATTTATCCGGATCGCTGTTCCTCTTTTAGCTCAGCTGTCACCTCACTGTGCAACAGCTGCCTATTGGATTAAGAAAAAATTCAGCCGAGCTTATCAAACCAGATTAAAACACTTATTTTAGGCTCTGTAAAGTCTTTCTATGCTTCGGTATTTCATGCAGTCTAAGAACACCTTTGTTCCACATTGTGACCAACAGACTGGCCCGTCTGTCCAAACAGCTACAGACGGACTGAATACGAGGCAGTTTTCTTGCTATCACAACCAGAACCTCTCAGCCCAGGAGGAGGATGGAGCAGGTGTTCAGATGGGACAAGGCTCTAAAAAGAGGGACATGATCAAATTCCCGGCTGTAATTTGCTGAAGTGCTGTGGCATGCTGTAAAATGTGGTAGTTTAAGGAGCGCTGCATGTTTTACAAGCCTGGAAAGAAGACAGCAGCACTACAGTGAAGTGATGTGCTACAGGTGGAGCTCACCTTCACCTCTGGTAGCCTGTTTCACTGATTTAAAACTTAGCGAGTGATATTATGCCTGTCAGGCTTTTCACTCTCAAACAGCAGGTACACGGTTTACCACAAGGGTTAGGGTTAGGTGGCACACCACAACACAACATGGACTTTTTGATCCAGTTGGTTCTTAGTTGAATACAAAGTGTGCTCCTACTTCCAGTCAGCAGCCTCCAATGTGCAGCCTGATCTGATGACGTCCTGCAGACCACACAGGAACAACAATGGTACAGCGAAGTAGGTACAGCTGTGTCTCTATCTGCTCCCATCTCGTTTCTCGTTCTCACTCAAACTCTACATCCATCCCAATTCACGTTGTCATGACGCCCCATCCACTGACACTTCCTAATGCTCTGTTGCCTAGCGACCGGAGCTGTCTGCCTTTTCCAGACAAGGTCAAGGAGTCCCAGTTTGTGTGCACATCTGTCTGTATGAATTATATGTTAATGTACCACCCTATTAGCCTCAAATCTTGATCTTTGAACCTTGCAGGCTCTCACAGTGTTCATCCGACGCCTGATCCTTGCATCACCAGCATGAAGACTCAGCCCACATTAAACCACACTGGTGCCACTGATGAATGAATGAGGCCAAATGTTTCCAACTAGAAGACGGAGTTCAGCATGCTGTGGCCAGAAGACAGGTACCATTTAATTCAGCCTTTGTTTTGTGCATGCCGACCAGAGTTTTTACTACAACATAGTGCAGAAACAGAGAAAAAAGGCCTGATTCTCCATCACATCTCCGGTAGCAGCACCACCTGTCCGTCTGGCAGCCACTCAGTTCCAAACAGGTGGGCGTGAGGTGGGGTATGAATTCATTCCCATGACTGTAGTCTCTTCAGCCCGTCCTGCTTCACTTCATTAGCTTCTGCTGTCTAAAACCGTGGTAGCTGTAGCACGGTGTGATCAGACTGATCAAATAGACATGACGCTGCCTCAGGCTGCCGTTCGGACAAACGAGACACAGGAACACCACATATGCAGGAGCACATGCTGAGTTTTCACTGTTCCATGATGTTAGACACTACAGAGTGTGTGACATGAGCACTGGACCTTTATGGACCTGCAGGTCTCGTCCAGCCTGGCCCTCACTTGCAAAAGGCAACAGACACAATGCAATGTGCAGGTACAGGTGTTTTCTTCACACCTGCAGTGTTTGTGGATGTTTGACTTCAGAGTTTCTTTGACAGGACTTTATTTAGTGCTGCATGTTATTGTGATAGCTGTCAGAAGGGATGAAACTGGATCAAAACCCACAAGTCAACACAGCAGTAGCAGCAGCATCACAATGAAACTGAAGCAGAAACACCTCCGAGTGGCTCAAATGTATATCTATATATATATAATAGCAGTAGTTGATGTGCTCCGTTCAGTCGGTGGCAATAACCACATGTCGCCACATTTACTACTCACAGCATTTTGATGGATCTTCAATGAGTTACCAGCAGAAGACAGAGACGAGGGCTCCAAGCCTACCTGAGGGTCAGAGAGACGGGAGATGTCTGGGTAGAGGTAGAACTTGATGCCGTCGTACGCTCCGGGAAGCGTCACTCCTCTGACTAGCAGGACCAGCAGCATGACATAAGGGAAGGTGGCCGTCACATACACAACCTGCAGATACAACAACATGCACACATGTTGAAATGTAGGAACTGTACAACAAAACAAGGGCAACAATGAGTCACTGTCACAACTTGCTGGAGTAGCTTCTCAACATAACCTGACATGATGAGTCCAGATGAAGCCAAAGTGAAGCTGTGCATAGCAAAAGCAGCCAGAACAATGCTGGCGTCTAACCAACACAGCCTCCTCGGACGCCGGTTTATCTAAACTGCTTCACAGCATCAGACATCAGACTGAATGAACTGAAAGAACCAGGAGGCTGGTGGTTTCCAACAACACAGCACTGCTGAGACCCAAAGTGAGAGAACCTGACAGTAATCTGACCGCCATCTCCATCCAGGAAGAGGAGGAAGAGCGGGATGGACGTGGGGACGATGACTCTGAGGGGTAGGTGGCATCTTTTGTTGAATAATTTTATTGTCATTTGTAACCAAAAAGCCTAAATAAAGTCTATGTAGGCTTAATGCACCTGCTGTGAATGAGCTTCTGTGTGCGTACAGGCTAAAGGCTTAGAGTTAGACACCAGGATCATGAGCTACATTAGATGACATTAGACAAGCATATAACTACAGTAATAGTTATTTTATATATAAATGTTTCCTTCTTTGGACTTCCATTTATTTTTGTATTGAAACAAGAGTAAAATAATGAAAAAATAAAAACTGTGGGAACTGCATTTATATATAATAATATATAAAACATTTCACAATCTGAAGACTTTACAGACTATCTCTTGACATTCAGCTAAACAGGAGGCACACAACCATAAGCTGTGATTTTTTTTGCCTTGCTGAACCATAACCCTTTGTTTTGTTCATTTTTTAAACTATCTAATATTGAGAGTCGGTGGTCGACTGAAACAGAAGGACACCAAGATGCACCACTCATCAGAAATCTGCTCTATGGTTCACTCAGTCAGTCTGAAGCACAGTCCCTGACATCTGCTGCTGGCCTGTACCACATAACATCAAACCCCCAGCGTCAGCAATCATATCAATTACAAGGACGTACATCTGGTAACACCTTCTATACAGTAGGTTGCACTTGCTAACCGTCAAACCAACACTCTCTTTTTACTGAACTATTCAGAGTTTGCAGAACTGTGCTCGACATCTCCAGACTCTTAGAAGCCCATTGAACAAAGGCTCTGGCCTCTTGGAAGGCAGAGGCGGGCAACATACATCCCCTGGCTTTCTGGCACTCAGTCAAAGTCCAATTGAGGACAGAACAGGACAGAACAGAGCCAGGCCAGGAGACTGAAAAGAAAAGAAGGCTCCTCTGGCCCCGTCTCTTTAACTGGAGGAGCCCAGAGGAGTGATGCTGGCAGTGTGGGAAAATGTGCTTCTCTTTGAAGCATGCACAGAAGTGCATGAGTACACACACACACACACACACAGTCACACACACACAAACACACACAGGCACACAACTTCATTCACAACATGGAAATGGGTGTGCACATACTGCAGACAGATGAAATGGATCATTCACACCAATACACACATGCATGCCTCAGTTACCTGAGTCACTTTAGCACACTGCTGTGTGTGTAGGTGTGTGTGTGTGTGTGTGTGTGTGTGTGTGTGTATTCGTGCACTTCTGGCGAGGTGTATTTGATGCAGAGACCTTCTTAATCAGACCTCAGTTCACCGTTACAGCATGAAGCTGTGATTTAAAGTCACTCAGAAGCTGGAAACATTGTGCACATCCTCAACCTTCAAACCCTGAATCAAAAGTACAGGAGTAAATGAAATCCTAAGCAAGGTGCTATTTGAGCATCCGTTTTAAGCTCTGTTAATCCGAGCTTGGCCTACAGGGAACAGCGTGGGAAAACTTGTCTCCTGCGAGCAGATCCCTCCTTTAATTTGTCAAATAAAACGATTACACATCCTAAACCTTCTTCCCCTCTTCCTCACCATCTCTCTGGAGATGAAAAGACCAATATTCAGTCTCTCCATGAACTTTTGATGCTCCACATGCTCCTTCCCGCTCACCACGGGTAAACATTTAAGCCACCGCAAATTTACTGGTCAAACTTGCCCCTGCCTCGCCGTAAATCTAACAGGGGGGATAAATGTGAGACAAACACGGCCAACAAAAGCAAACAGCTTAGCAGAGTCGGAACTGAATGGGCTGTAGGGTCTGTGGAGAAGAAAGCAGCTCTCTCTTGCAGCGAGCGAGCTGTGGTTAATTTCTCATAGCAGGACAGAGGGAGAGAGAGAGGGAGGCAGCAGAGGCGGAGGCTGAGGATACACTCTGCATGCTCCTCATGAACGCTCTCCTTTCCCCCAGTGAATGCAGGAATCAATCTTGGACCGGCTGCTAAAGCTCAGCCATGAAGAAGCATTCTCCTCTCTTACTTCACAGCCCAACAAAAGACACTTCATGGAGATATAGGCATTGCTGCCTAGTTGTTTTCTCCCCGTCATGTAGAATGTGAACCCATTATTTTTTCTTCACACACCTCTCCTCTTTTCTCTTTACTCTCCTTTTCCCTCTACTTTCCTCAGTCTGTCTCTATCGTTCTACTCGTTCTGGCTCATTGACTGTGTGAGGAGGTTTTAAGGGCTGCTAGCGCCCAGAGAAGCTGCACAGTCCTTACTGTCCTCCTCAAGGCTGCTGGAGGAGACTCAAAGACAGAATTAAAATGGAAAATGTGATTGGAGGAATACGTGGTGCAGATGCTTTAGACCTTTGTTTGCAGGAGAAAAATTCATGTGGCTTCATTCATTGGAGGAGAGTTGTTCTGAGGACAAGGAGGGGAAGTGCTTCATGGTAGCTCTAAGACCAACAGCAGAAGTGCTCCCATGAGCAGACAGCAGCAGTAACAGCAAAGCAGCACGCACACAGACAGCGCCCTCCATAATTACTGGTTCAGATGTGTTAAAAGCCTTCAAATAAATTCAGTTGTTATTGCAGAAGCATCCTGTCACACTGACGATTGTAGAAAAATGTAACCTTCAACTCAGCTCAAATGAATTGTTGGCAAAAGTGGGTTGAACAGAGTGTGAACGTCCAGGCTGCTGATAACTGATCTGATGTAAAAGAATTAGTTTTTAATTCACACTGAATAAATGCACTTGAATGAAAGGTTGAATTTTCCTCTTTTTTTCGTTGTGGTCCTAAATTATTTAGAAAAAAAATGAATTTACTAGAAGCTAAAGAACACATCTTAACCAGGGGTGCCAATAATTATGGATGGCGCTGTGTATCCATATGCTGCAAGTTTCACATGAAAGAAAGTGATCCTGACATCACACACACACACACACACACACACACACACACACACACCAGTAAACATGCATTCCTCTGTCTCACCTTGCCGGTTGACTTGGGTCCCTTCCAGATGCAGAAGTAGCAGATGAACCAGGCCAGGGCCAGACACATGGCCAGCTCCCAGCGCACCCCCCCCATGTGCTCAATGCCATCGGATATCTTCAGCACTCTGCGTCTGATTTGGCCCAGAGAGCACAGACAATGACTGGTTTACCATTTGATTTAGTCCGTACTCTTGTGTGATGTGAAAAAAGAAGCCTTGGTTAACGAGTAAAGCAGTAATCATTGCATAAAGCACAACCTCTGGAGGCTGTCTGAGATGTGTCTGCAGGCATGTAGTTCTGAATTCAGAGTGAAAAAGAGCATATTGTGCTGAATAAGTAACCCCAACACAGAAGTAGGATGATGAAAAATAAATATTTTCTTGGGGCTGCTCAGTATAAATAGTGATGTCTTCTTCTGCTGCTGGTTGGCCATATGGCCTACAGGAATATTAGTGAATTCGTCCTCGGGCGGTGGTGGCTCAGCTGGTAGAGCGGTTGTCTTCTGATCACACGGTTGGTGGTCTGATCCCGTCCACAGTCACAGTGTCCGTGGGCAAGACCCTGAACCAGAAGTTGCTCCTGATGGCAGGCAGCAGCTAGCATGGAGCTCTGTCACCATTGGTGTGTTTCTGCTCTCAGATGTACGTCGCTTTGGATAAAAGCGTCTGCTAAATAAAATTGTAAATTGTGAACGCATCCACAGCCTCATATGCTGCACATGCAGCACTTCTAGTCTTCAGCCACACTGTCATGTTCACTTCTAAGGACACTTCACAAGATAATAATAATAAACCCTCATCTTGTTTTTATCACCAAGGGTCTTTACTGTCTCGTCATGGTTTTCCTATCACCTTTCATAAATACAGCTCTTCTAACTAAACCCTTCATCCACTTTTTATCAGTAGTTTATAGAGCAACTCAGGATTGAACGGACCGACCAGCAGCGCACCACGACCCGCTTACAAGACTGTGTATAAAACTACAAATATGTTACAAAGAAAGATATGCTCAGGCAGCTTACTTCTGTGTAGAACAATGCAATCTTGAAAACGTCAGATTAACATTGCAACTACTTCCATACAAGTTTCATCTAATTAATAAAGAGCTCCGACTGGAGAGACAAGTGCCCTTCCTACAGCAAGGCCCAGATCTCATAATGTTAGTTAACATCTGCAGAGGATTGCATTGACCTCCTCTTCCTTAAATAAGATCCTGGATCAACATGGCCACCGTGCTGCTGGGTCATGCACCAGAGGAGAAGGAGGACGCCCTCTGAAGTGAGAAAGCACCTTGATGAGTGCCTCCCTGATGGAATGAACCTGCACGACACAGGCAGCAGGCAGGCTACAGACCCTGGAGGAGGGAAATCGTATCGGTAAGCTGGAGATGATGTGACACGTCACATCCTGCAACACCTTGAGCTGAGCATCAGGGACATGTTGGTGGGACGACTGCTCTGTGGTGGCCTACATCAACAGGCAGGGAGGCGCTCAGCCTGCTCCACTGGCCATGAAAAATCACTTCAAACTGTCATGGAGACTCTTGAACATTACAAAGCCTATCTGTACTGGTACCAGTGAAATGTTCAGGAGTGGATAAGACATGGTCAGCCATGACACCGTGAGCAATATATCTAGGCTTGGTAACACCACCACCTCCACCAACCAGATAGAGTACTGCTAGTCATACCATTCTCCATACTTAATGGGCTCATTTATACCACTGGGTTCCACAATTCAACTTGTTCTCATAGAACAATGGTTGCAATGGAAAAACCTTCAATCCAGATGGCTCACAGGTTCAATATGTTGGCATGTTGTCGTGTCTAGACTTGCTAATTCACCGTCCCTGTACAATATCATATTTCCCGTGCCATGGATAAAGGTGGAGGTGCAAGATGCAGGGCCTGTTATCAATGACATCACAGCTTGTCGGCGGTGGTGAATCAACAGTGTGCTTCCTGTTTGTTAAAGAATAGCCAGGCAACAGCATTGATGGAGGATGAGAAGCGAGAGTCCGAGCCACAGAGCCACACGGTGCTGCCAAATCTTTGCCACCGAGTTCACCCCCGGGGCTCCTGACCAGCCATTGATCATCATGACATGTTCTTGGTGGCCCGCCACAGACCAAGTCCAACACGGCCCCCCTGTCCCTTCCTGGTCAGCCGAGAGGGCAAGATGTGAACACCAATGTGTGTAAATACACTTGCGTGGGTTCTGAGATGTCTGTGAAGTGGTTGGATGTAGGTGTATATCGTGTTTCTACAGTGTGACTTGTGTGCACGATGTGTCTGTTAGGGTGATACATGAGCACCATGTCTAAGTTCACTCATAATATCGAGTGTTTTTAAAGGTTCAGTATTGTTCACAGTACAGCTACGCAAACACAAGGCAGCCATCATTTCTCCTGGTCACATAAATTAAGTGCAAATGAAGGTTTTGTCTTCATTTTGCAAAAGTAACATCTTTTACAAATGTGTACATTGTCTTTCTTAGAGTGCTCCATGCAGCTATAATCAGCATTAACATCTTCACTGGTCACTTGATCCATGTCGGGATATCGGTTCGCAATTATGTCCAATGTACAAAATGTTTGTTTGTTTTGGAGCCTTTTCATCAAATTCTTATCAACAATATCAGCCTTGGATGATAAAGGATCAATGCCAAATGATGGTTAGCAATATTATTTCCCCCACAAATATAAAGTTCTGTACAGATGGCGAAATACAGCTTGTGGCAGCTCCCATGTGTGTTGATGCTGTATTTACAGTACAGATCAGTCTGTCTTGGCATACCCTGTACCAAGCTAGGTCGGTTTACTGTTTCTGCCAACAACATGGTGGTTGGCTCTTTGGCCACGTCTTTCTCCGGGTTAGGTTTATGTCGCTCGCTCAAATTTGAAAATTTTCTCTCCGTTACTCACTCAATTTTGATTTGCATGCAAGAAAACAGAAAGCAATCTACACGTAACTGTTTCGATTTCAATAGATCGCTTTGAAAGGGTCATGCGCAGGTTGTGAATTCGATTTGAGCCAGCAGTGTAAACACAGCTCCTGGCAGCCAGACAGGAAGTGTGGTCAGCACTGCACACTGACAAGGCCTGATCCGCTGCCACACACATGGCTCTAGCTGGGAGACAGCTGGCCTACGAGGGCCTGCTGACACACAAATATGAAAAGGGCTGACTAATTATTGGGGGGTAGGGTTAGGGGGGTCAGCGACACAGTCTGGAGCTGTCAGTAGCTCAGCTTTTCAACAATATGGCCGATAAAAACATTCTGATGTGCTGAAGACTGCCTCAACTGACGAACATGCTGTTAGAAGACAAACGGTGAACCATGAATGTTTTAAACCCGCTGACATGAAACATTTATACTGCAGCGGATTCTGACTTTGCAAACAGAGTATGAAGTCCTACATAAGAAGGGTGAACATGACAGAAGAGAAACAAAAGCGTACTCACTCCCAGAACTCGATCACTGGAGAGGTTGCGTTGGGGTTCGTGATGTTGGTGGCGTTCTCTCCGTAATAGTCAACACAGTTCTCTGCAAATACACAGCTCGTTATTTGGTTGGTATAGATATAGATATTGATATTTTCAGGTTTTTTTCCTCTAGAAGGATGCTTATTTGATACTCTAAGAAGAATGCCCTTTTACATCGTGTTCCCTCCTCCTACCTGTATTCCAGTAGTGGCCACAGCCAGCCCACGGAAGCTCAGTGGTGAAGCAGTTGAAGAGGTAGAAAATGGCCCAGGCTAGAATCACTATATAGTACACGTTTAGATGAGCTTCAATCACCTGTGTTGCATAGCCAATCCCTGAAAAGCAAAAGAGTTACAAATGAATAGCAGCTTTTCACACGACTGCAGTCTCTGCAGCTGCCGTGGGTCAGAAGACGCCTACAGGAACACGTAGGCTGTGCACACGAAAAAAACTGTTTTTAAAAATGAACCTCTGAGTCGAGATCATCGCAGCATTTCATGTGCAAGTTCAAGAAGCAAGTTTTGTCAATCCGACTGCGTTGTAAAGTTTTCTACTTCCTCTTTAGTCAATACAATCCGCAGCCCGACATCAGAATCAGGATAGGAAGTGAGCGTTTTCTCACCTTCAAATAGCGGGCAGACTTTCCTCCAGCAGGTGATGCCTCCCTCGCTGGTGAACTGACCCAAAGCCGTCTCCAGGAAAAACACGGGGATGCCGCAGCACACGAAGAAGATGACATATGGAACAAAGAACGCACCTTTATGCACACAAACAAAAACACATGGAGATGAGGACACAGTCAGCACAACAACAAGTCGGACAGGCACAACGGTTCAGAAGTTCATTCTCAGTTCCTGCTGTATTGCCTCAATGTAAATGGAAAAAAGCAATTCACAAAATTCAGATGAAAGTGCTTGTTATGATGCCACCGTGCAGGACGACCTTTCCAGATGATGCTGTCTAACGGTGCCTAATGAGGAAAGCTGCCTCGCTGTGCATTATAAATGAAGTCATAAAGAATAACATGTTTTCAGACTTCTCTTGTTTAATTCTCATGTAGTGAAGGTTACACCTGAGAAAATGTAAAACTTCTTTAATCTGTTTTGTACCTTTTACAAACTATATCTTGCTTCCATCCATTCCTCCCAGTGTTTGCCAAACTTCATCCTCCCTTCAACTAAAGGTTTTTATGACTACATTTTCCAACAAGGAAACCTCTCTAGAGCCCAGTTTTGTCAGTGAACAGTTTATCTCCATCCTACAAACACAAATACAGGAAACTTCCTTGCCTCCTCCATTCTTGTAGCAAAGGTAGGGGAACCTCCAGACGTTTCCCAGCCCAATGATCTCTCCGGCCACTGACAGGACAAACTCAATCTTGTTGTTCCAGTGACCCCTCTCGTTGTAGTCCCCGTTGTCTAGGCTGGAGCTGGACCCTTCCGGGTCTCTGCCATCCTCTGGTTTACCGTTTATAACGGGCCCGCTCTTCTCAGCTGTCATGACGCTCCAGCAGCCCGCTGAGAGACAAAAAGCACAAGTACAGAGGATTTGTTTTAAAGAAAAAGTGACTTCATAAGTAGTTCACTTTTCTATTTCTGCTTTTTCTGGTGTATCTGAATCTGAATGCCTGTCCAATTAATGCAAAACCACGCCCATCTAATTGTCCAGTCTTATGCCTGTGAAAGTTCACATCAAGTGAAAGCATTGAAATGAATTGCTCCTGACCAAGCAGGAGGGTGGCCCAGTGAACTCCAATAAGAAAGGCTACTGTACATCAAGTGTAGTACTTCATTCACTTTTCATTCAGTTGACTGAAAAATATAGAAAACGAAATGTTTAGTACCTTTAATATCGTTTTAGCTTGATGTCAAAGTCATATCGACACGGGGGAGGGGAGCTAAATTAAAGTTACAGCGTGCGTAAAAATCAGCGTCACCACTTGCTGAATATGTCAGGATGAAGTTAATACCACGAGTCCAGCGAAATAGAAAGAAGGGCGAAAGGAAACAGAAGTGATCATGCAAATAGAAAGTACAGTCTCCCTACTCACCAGTCTCCTATGGAACAGTGGCGAACCTCCTTTTGGCTCCCGCGATGATGCGCACCAACAATCGCCTTTACAAAAACGCAGGACGGTTAAGCCTGATCAGGGGGGTGAGAAGCAGAGAGAGGGGGCAAAAGAGGAGAAGAAAACAATCTGGATCCGCGTTGAGTGAAGTGGTTTTGTTTGAGTCTCACGTCTATATAAAGGAAGCTCCCAGACGTGGCAGAGTGACGGTAGATCTCGCACCCGTCGGTGGATAACCTGCGACTGCGCTCCCACTCTCCAAGCGGTCTACTCTCAAGCGCCTCTACTTGGATATAAGCCATGTGGTAACCAATCTAGCTCTCACAGCAGCGTTACCACGGCGCACAGAGAGCAGGGTGGCGCGAGGAGACGGCACAACACGAGAAACCAGTTGGGAAGATGAAGGCTTGGGCTTCAGGTTCAGCCTGGACTTGTTCTAAAACACACAACAACTGATATTTACCACCTTAACAGCAGCATCACGTGCATTTAGAATCATGGGTGGGAAGTGATTGGATCTGGAGCTTTCTTTGATTAGTCAGTCAGTACATAAATTAATCATGAAGTTGTTTTGATAACTGATCATTTAAATCATGTCAAAGGAAAAATGTGGTGGTGTGAGCTTATGTTCCTGCAACAGGCAGCTGTTATCTGTGGATATGGGATGCATTTCTCAGTGGCCACTTCAGAAACACTCGCTTTTTAATTTGCAGTCACCATATCTGCATTTATGAAGTCAACAATAAAATCAGTGGTAAAGTTCTGCAAAGCTCAAAGCTTGATATCATAATTGAACTTACAACTGAAACATAATGCAATAGCACCAATGTCAAGTCTGCATTAGACTCCGCTGAAGAATCAGAAGGTTAATATTGCAAGTCACATTAGCTTAGCACAGATGTAATAAATCCAGTGCAGTACAGTCAGCGTTAGCTTAGCCACAAGAGACACAAAAATGGACAAATTTTACTCTAAATGTCTCACTTGTAGATATTTGGCAGTTCTTTGCAAACCCAATTTAAATTATGGTGCTTGGGGGAAAAAACTGTAGTTTTTGTTAAATGAAGTAATATTGTAATCACACGTTTGAATTTCAGATATCGTCGGTATTGGACGGCTCTGGTCAGTCGGAACATGGACAAAACAACAGATTAAATACACTGTGATGTACCTCACAAAAGGCCAAACACTTTTTTCTACCAGAGGACTTGTGGGAAGTCAAGTCCTAATCGTCTCAGCAGCACTGACCCCGTGTGATTTATGAATTGATGTCAACAGGCTGGTTCCCATTGTCAGTGCAGTTGCTCCTGGGGCCTTGCTCTCAGCATACCAACTCACAGCTCTTTGTCCCCTCAAGAAGTCACTCTGCACCCGAGCAGACAATATGAATAGGTTGCCTCTTTTGAAAACACTGGATTGTTGCTGTCAGCAGCTAATGATGAATGATTGGCCTGTCATAAAGCCTTAATAACCCATGCTGCTTGGAAAACAGTTGTTTCCTTATGGTCCTGAAAAGGGAGTTTGTAGAGTTTGTTCATACACAAGCTGATTGCCTGGTTTCCAGGCGTGATAGACTCGGTGTACTAGGAACTCCCCTGACTCTAAAAGCCTGACCTAGTCTCTAAGAATCCCTTCACGCAAGGGTCACTCGTCATTATAAGCTTAAAGGAAGTGCCCTGCATAAAAAGTATGGCCACCCAAAGCGGCTGGCAAACACTCCCTGTGCTTTTCAGGCAGAGTCAAGTCCTTTATTTATGTTGCCCTGCACAACACTATCAGAAGGTGAACTCTTAAGAATGAAACTCAAGCATGTTTGCAGGTATAAGGCTGCTTCAGAGGGTCATTTTTGCTCTTTAAGTGTCAGATGAAGCACTAAAAGCAGCTGCAGTGCATCAGCCGGAGCCACAGTAAAGCTGAATGGAATAACTTTTGACCCATTCTTATGCAACGCCAGACGTGTTAGAAATAGAAACGCTTTCGTTTGAGCACTGTTGACTAGATGGCTACAGGTCATTCTGTCCAGCCATTATCCTTCTGGCCTACTGACTCCAAAACAAGCAAGATGTTACAAAGTGATTGGCTGCCGCACTCCTGAGGGGCCACAACTTGTTGTTCATTGGTTATTGGAGTCGGGAGGGACGAAGTCACTTTGTTGTCCAGTTAGGACAGTAGAAAAAAAGACTTGTTGCTAGGATACCCATCATCAGTCCTTGACAAGGTGCTGCAAGTGAAAAATAAACAAAGAAAAAAGACAAGTGGACTGAAAGAGCTGTAGTACGTTAGAGGGAGAGATGGAAGAAATAAGAAGGCTAAGTGGTTGAAAAAAAAGGACAAGATAGAAAAGAAGGACGCAGAATGAACAATGAAGGACAGTGAGAGGAGGAGAGTGGATAAAGCTGTTGGTGTGCATCGCTCTCGCCCTCCTCACACATGACGTTATGTAACCGGCTTCTTGTTTCTCCTTCAGTGAATGGTCCTCCATTTGTTGCTGAATCTCTCTTGAGCAAATATCTTTTCAAAGAAAGGTTTGGTTTCATTCATTTTACACTCACCTTTAACAACAGCTTCAGCAGCTCTACTGTTTTCAGTTGTCAGCTTCTGAGCAGCTGCTCCGGGATTCTCAGACATAGTTCTTCAATAACAGAACAGGATCATTTTTCCTTCACAGCTGTTTTCATTGGACTTGACCTGGAAAATGTTGGAACGTATGATGTAGAGATTCAAATGTACGTGGTCAATGGGGGTCTTAGATTTTGTGATTTAAGTCCAGACACTGAGTGAAATTGAGACATTAATGGAAACCAATGTGCCAAAAGGAGTTGAAGATTATAAAAAGCTAAAAAAGAAACTGAACGAGGCTGAAACATTAGTTTGAATGTAGGCGACACATTGATCTGGAATTCATCAACTATAAACTGTCTATGCAAAGTGAGCTTTTTATTTCATTAAATTTTTCTCATAGGCTATTTTGTTGTTGGTGTGAAGGTAAAAAGTCGAGAACTGAATGGTTTGGAAGGATTAAAGGTGAAGCACTGAACCTGGAGCTGTCTGCTGAAGAGAAGGGGTTAATAAAGCCAAAGGGTCCCTAACTACTGTGTTAGTGCTGAAAGCGGCTGATTTGAGGAGTACGAGCTAAAAACAACTGAAGAAAAAGAAATGAGAGCAATTAAAACGTATCCGATGAATACAGCTGATGGTGAAAGTAGCTGAAATTTCCACTGAAGTGAAAACGCTGAAGACAGTTGAAGTGTGAGCCCTGTAAGCAGCAGAAATATCAGCTAACATGTTGGACCTGGAAGTTTACAACTTTCAGCTTAACAATTTAAGGTTAAAGCCCAATTTTAGTATCTGTTGACATCTAACAGCTGAAAACATGTGGCATGTCAGTGAAATGTAAGTTCTTTTCCTCCTCTGTCACTACATACACAACACTAAACGTGTGAGCAGTGCTGCCAGTGTCCAACTGTGGAACAAGAACAGGCTTTAATGCTGGAAGGTGTCCTGCTTTTAAGAATTTCAGGTTTAAACAAAATGTATAGGAAGGTATCATCAGCATACAATTGTTGTCAAGTCTGACATGACAGATAATATGACGAGGCAAAGCAGGTTGCATCAACATCAGAATGTGTTTGAGGAAGTTAGTGGAGATTACACTGGAGACTGGGGTGCTACTTTCACTATGCTCCTGAACTGTTCGTCTCAGACCTTAAGTTTAATCTTTGAAATATAAACTGGTGACTACGACTGCAGGGTGGCGCAGTTGGTTAGCACTGTTGCCTCGCAGCAAGAAGGTCGCCGGTTCGCGTCCCGGTGGGGAATCTTTCTGCGTGGAGTCTCCATGTTCTCCCCGTGCAGCGTGGGTTCTCTCCGGGTTCTCTGGCTTCCTCCCACACAGTCCAAAAACATGCTGAGGTTAATTGGTGATTGTAAATTGTCCGTAGGTGTGAATGTGAGTGTGCTTGGTTGTCTGTCTCTAAGTGTAGCCCTGTGATAGACTGGCGACCTGTCCAGGGTGTCCCCTGCCTTCGCCTTAAGTCGGCTGGGATAGGCTCCAGCCCCCCCGGGACCCTAGTGAGGATTAAGCGGTGTATAGATAATGGATGGATGGATGGACTATGACAGCATGCTTTAGACGAGGTATTTGGTGACAAAACCATCAAGGTCACCAAAGGCAACAACAACTACTCAACTAAAAAAAAGAGGCTTGAAGACGTTTAGGAAATGACTCTGTTATGCAAAATGAGAGCATATTACAGGGTTAATCAACCATTAGCTGTTCAGGACAATCAGTGACATCTGTTGAGCTCAACTGACAATCGAGATCAAGAAAAACTGACTGCAGTGAAGGTGACAGATTTAGCCCCCCTCTGGTGAAAATGACGGGTTTTGTTTTGTTAACACATCTGTATGGGGTTTTTGTATGTGCTACAAGACATATGACTGAAATAAGCAGTTAACGGTATGGCTGAGCATTTCCACCTTGAAACGCTAGTTTGTCTATGATGGTCTCAAAAACCCAGATTTCATGTGTAACAAACCTTCAGAACCAGCTCTGTCTACTTGAACGCTGGTGCTTTTTATATCCTTATTCTTCTTCAGACTTGGTTTCCCACTTACACATGCATGGCTGAATTACTCTAGTCTACAGTTTTTTGAGTCACAGGTGAGCTGGTGTGCTCTAGGTGCAGCGAGTAGGGGGAATTGCATGGAGAGAGAGGCTCCATACGTCCGCCCATCTCCAACAGTGGAGAGTTAGATTCAAGCTATTTTAAATCAGGAGGGGATTATTTTCATGGAGGAAATTCTAAATATGTTGGTGAGTTAATATTAGGTGAGTTTTTATCAGTACCCAGAGAGGGACCTGAAACCTCTGAGAACAACAACAAGACGGCTTTACAAAGGATCTGGCGAAACACAAGCAGTCAACTGAATCGACCGGATGTGAAAAGAGAGCAAGCATGTAGACTGTCTGCCTGATTAGCGTTATTCTGAAGCAGAAAACTGAATGGAAGTCCTCTGAAAATTTGCAATTCATATGTCTGACATGTTTAGGATTGAGCTCACTCAGACGATGAA